ATTACACTTCCAATTACGTTGAATGTATCTGAATAGATGTTGTTGGCTCTCTCTCTCTCTCTCTCTCTCTCTCTCTCTCTCTCTCGGTACTTTTGGAACACGTTGAGGTCATAATTGTAAAAAAACAAACAAAAAAAAAGCAGCGACTTTGGCCTTGTCTTCTCTTCTCACTAACCGTTCACAGTCGGATGCTAATTGAGCGTTGTGCGTCGTGAAGCTACAGGACGTGGCCCCTCGCTGTGAGCGGCGGTGGGAAATTGATAGCGCGCTCCGCGAAAACAGGAGGATCCTGGGAAAACGCCTGGGCAGCAAATTGAAGCTGTAATTGGAGAGTGAGACGTCGACGGAGCCAAGTGATTGGACGTTGTTGTGGCGGTAGATCAAAATAGCTCTGGTGTCAGTACCAGGACTGTCGTAGCTAACGTTAGCTCTGGTGTCTGTACCAGGGCTGTTGTAGCTAACGTTAGCTCTGGTCTCTGTACCAGGACTGTTGTAGCTACCGTTAGCTCTGGTGTCTGTACCAGGGCTGTTGTAGCTAACGTTAGCTCTGGTGTCTGTCCCAGGACTGTCGTAGCTAACGTTAGCTTTGGTGTCTGTACCAGGACTGTCGGAGCTAACGTTAGCTCTGGTGTCTGTACCGGGACTGTCGTAGCTAACGTTAGCTCTGGTGTCTGTCCCAGGACTGTCGTAGCTAACGTTAGCTCTGGTGTCAGTGCCAGGACTGTCGTAGCTAACGTTAGCTTTGGTGTCTGTACCAGGACTGTCGGAGCTAACGTTAGATCTGGTGTCTGTACCAGGACTGTTGTAGCTACCGTTAGCTCTGGTGTCTGTACCAGGGCTGTTGTAGCTAACGTTAGCTCTGGTCTCTGTACCAGGACTGTTGTAGCTAACGTTAGCTCTGGTCTCTGTACCAGGACTGTTGTAGCTAACGTTAGCTCTGGTCTCTGTACCAGGACTGTTGTAGCTACCGTTAGCTCTGGTGTCTGTACCAGGACTGTCGGAGCTAACGTTAGATCTGGTGTCTGTACCAGGACTGTGGTAGCTAACGTTAGCTCTGGTGTCAGTACCAGGACTGTCGTAGCTAACGTTAGCTCCGGTGTCTGTACCAGGACTGTCGTAGCTAACCCCGCTGGGGTCAGTCTACATTGACTACTGGTGTTTCTGCTGGGGTCAGTCTACATTGACGAACTGTGTTTCCACAGGGGTCAGTCTACATCATCCACCTGTGTTTTCTCTGGGGGGGGTCAGTCTACATTGACGAACTGTGTTTCCACAGGGGTCAGTCTACATCATCCACCTGTGTGTTCTCTGGGGTCAGTCTACATTGACCACCTGTGTTTTCACTAAGGTCAGTCTACATTGACCACCAGTGTTTCTGCTGGGGTCAGTCTACATCATCCACCTGTGTGTTCTCTGGGGTCAGTCTACATTGACGAACTGTGTTTCCACAGGGGTCAGTCTACATCATCCACCTGTGTGTTCTCTGGGGTCAGTCTACATTGACCACCTGAGTTTCCACTGCAGTCAGTCTACAGTGCACCTCAGTTCCACTCTGTCTTTTTCTGTTGTTTGGAGCTGGTCCTATGTGACTGCCGTTAGCCGTTAGCTGTTAGCTGTTAGCCGTTAGCCGTTAGTCTTGCGTCTACGCTAACCTGTCGGAGTGTAAGAAAACACTTCCCCCTCTTTATTTCTTCTCCTCTGTCCCCCAGACTGCGGCGTCTTGGACGGTCTTGGACAGAGACCCCCCTCCGTCCCCCCGTACCTGCCCGTCCACTACCGGCTGCTGGACGCCGACTCGGCCTTCTTCCTGACGGAGGCCGATCAGGACCTCATGAGGAACTCCAGCTCGTTGTCCCGCACCGAGTCCTTCTTCGTCCACCGGGCTCGGACGTCCCCCCTGATAAACGCCAGCTACGGACCCGTCTCCGTGGAGCGTCCCGTCCCGCTGGAGCTCCTGCAGAGTCCTGGGACGACGTTCCCGGCCTCCCCCGTCGCCTTCGCCTTCAACTGGAAGATGCAGACGTTCGTCCTCAACCCCAGGGTCCACCTGGCCAGGCCCAAGGTCCAGGTCCTGTTCTACGTGACGGGCCGCGACTGGGACGACCACGGCGCCGTCCACCGGCTGCCCTGCGTCCACGTGTTCGCCTTCCACGAGACCCCGGAGGTCCACGCGACCCCGCGGCCCCGGGGGGCGCGTGGGCTC